AAATTTAGGTTTCCTCCTCCAGTCATGTTTTAATTCTTAACCTCAGCTTTATCGGCTACTGTTCTGAGTTGTGATATTTTTAAATTTTTGTTGATGAATTGATTTTTAAAAAGGATCATTACTCCTAGAAAGTGATCCGCCAATCGACTAACAACCGGGTGCCTACTTACTGCTAAGTAAACAGAGATGTGTGTGTGGAGGAAGAAAACTTGCCGAAGGTTTCACCTTGCCCAGGAATTGAACCCAGGTCTTCTCGTTTGCGAAGCGAGTGCTCTAACCACTAAGCTATGGTACTCCACAATGGGGGTTATTCGAAGCTCAGTGATTTTGTATGCTCACCCCTCCCATAGCATTTCAGTTATTCTTCCCTTTACACCTAGTGTTGATTTGGCTGAGTTGGTCGCTCTGTTAGAAGGTTGTGGTTCGAGCACCACACTGGCTCCTCAGCCAGGCTGACACATCAGCACCATAATATTATGATGATGATTGAACCTTAGATCCCAGTTCATGTCTGATACATTTCCTTACTGTCCAGATTGGTGGCAAAAGTTTGCCTTTTTTATTTCCACTACAGGAGCCTCAATTTTCTCTGTACATCACTATTCCCAACCTACAAGTTACAATTAGGAGGGGGTGGGAAGGAAGAACAAGCTCTTATGAAACAAGTGAAATCCACATACACTTAAACTATGTAATCGCTCCACGCTCCCTTGCGCCAATGTTATAATAGGCCGTTATTAGAATTAATAGAAATACCAGGAACAAGTACAAAATCCAACAACTTAAGGATCCTCTGGTGACCAGTTCAAACACAGCACTTGACCCACTTTACATTCCCTCCTCCCCAAGAGATTCTGCTTTCATAGAGATACATGGCCAAACCATGATAGGGAGAGATAATCCCATCTGTTTTGCAGGGGATGCTTTATATTCTCTTTATCTCTGTAAAGCTGCAGATGGAAGAGTGAAAGACAATTCCACAGCTAGATGGCCAACACAAATCATATCCTAGCACGCGTGGAAAAGTCTTTCCATTTACACCCTCAGGACAGTTGTATCTGACCCTTGTTGGTATTCAAGACTGTGGGCTCCGGATAAAATAAATAAACCTTTAGGACCACATTTGAAGTTTTTTTTTCAGAAAAAGGAAAAATCTGTGTTTCGTAAAGTATGAAATTAAATATTTTCACATCACAAAATATACAGTCAATTCACTTTACAGTATATTCTGTGAAGCACTTTGAGATGTTGCAAAGACGTAATAAGGCACTATATCAACTGCAAGTATTATTATTATTATTAAAGCATTATCCGAGAGAAAACAATTTCACAAAGCCCAAAACAACTCTGTTCAGCAGGTACTAGTTCAAGATTTGCATTTTTCTTCCTTCCAGACATCATCAAATTCACTGGCATTTGGTCATTAAAATTCTTTGGGGTAAAAAAATTCAAAAGCAATCCGCCAATCGACTAACAATTGAGTTCCTACTTACTGCTAGGTAAACAGAAGTGTATGGAGTAAGGAAACTTGCCCAACGTTTTCGCCCTCTGGGAATCAAACCCAGGTCTCTTGCTTGCGAGGCGAGTGCTCTAACCACTGAGCTACAGGACTCCACATATTGCTTTGTTAAAAGACGCAATGTCACAGATTTAAGTGACAATTTACCAAAGTATCATCGTAGATATGAAGAGTCAAGAGTAGGCAGAGGCCTGATCAGGTTCCTGTGGCTCAGCAGTCGCTGGACAAGCACACACACACTAACGTGCTGAGCTCACGTCTCCAAGCTAACGGTGGCTCAGTTTCTTCTCAACCCACCTCCATGCTCTGAGGTCTCAGCCACTTGCCAGGCAAGCCAAGTTTGAGGAAAACAGTCCAAGTTTCAAGGTGCGCTTTGCAATATTTTCAAGTGCATTGAGAACTCGATTGATGTTCTGTTTATTTCTAATAGCTTCCTGGTCAGGCTAATGAACGAGAGTTAACACTGGCTTTTAGAATACATTGTGGCTTTAAAGCAGCAAAGCTTGTCCAAACACTATTATTATTATTCTTCTTGAATCAGAACTAAAATGAGCTTGCGTACACAAAACAGTCACAAATCAGTTTAAGGAATGCGTCCCACCTTATTTCACTCATGTCGTGTGGTCCTGTGGATCGGAGCAAAACCTCTGCCATTCCAGATGTAGAGATGGAAACTAGTACCACAAGATGAGTGGCACGTAAACTCTCAAGCAAATGAAAATCAAAACAGGAGAAAATATATTGCTTCCCCTTCTACACAAAAATGTGCAAACAAACTTTGTTTTGTAAGCAAGCTGTTTAATTGAATTCTATTGTCCAAAGTGAGCAGTCACAGCCAGACCAAATGCGACATTTGCTGTGGAGAAAAAAAAGTTTGTTTCTTTCAACTGACATTGACCTATGGCATTTCTCTTCACCAGACTGCTCTAAATAATAATACTTTGAGGGTTGCAGAAACACCTGACCTAAAAAAAAGCACACCTTTTCTTTCTTCTTCTCCACCTTTGTTAGAAAACCACAAAACATAAGCAGCATGAGTATTCCATACTTTGTTTCAATTAAACAATATAATCTGAGGTAACATTTCAGACACAAAATCGCTCGCTCATGTGATGAAATAGTCCCTGACCAGAAAGTAAAAATACCCCTTCACTCCTGAAAGGGTGAAATGAAAGTTTAATGGTCAGGTAAAAATGTTGCAGTTAACAGTGCAGAGGTTCATGAAAATCCCACAAAACACATGTATGAATCTAAATCGGGACACACACACACGTATTATATGTACATTGACCTTAGTTAATCCGTTCCCACCCAAAGTCATTTTTTGCCTCCCCAAATATGGCTTTCTAGGTTCTCGAAACAACAACCAATAATAGCAGCGTACTTGCTCTTAATATAAACTAACCATTCAGAATCACAGGTGATCCAATCTCAACGTATGCAACCGCCCATCCGTGGAAATACCTTAATCCAGGTAAACGGTGAACATCCCCCTGAATCCATCAATCAACCAAAAGTAGAAGCAAAATAGGGTGAATGTGAGTCTCTTGATTATTTCCAAATTCAGTCTGTTCGGGTCGAGTTGGGCAAAGCGTCGGGCTAGTTATGTATCCACAATATCTCCCTCTTTCCCCCCTCCCAACTCAACAACACACACAGTCACTAGAGTTCAGGCACAGATTCGCTCAAGTATATGCTCAGGTCTAACTTGTGATAGAGATGTCTCTTCACTGGAGTTGAGAGGTTAACGTTTAAAAATCCAAGCATTTCAGTCTTGAATGATGTTCATGTTGAGAATTGTGCTATAAAAAGTGCTGGTTCTTTTCTCTTTGTATTGAGAGTTGAATCGCCTTTCCTTCTGCTCCAATTTCAACCCAACCAGTCACTGGATTGTTACTTCCAACCCAGCTAACAATGATAGATCGATCCAGGATATGGGCAGAGCACATTTACAGGTTAGAAGCAAACAAGGGTAAATCGCACTTCAGGATTACAAGACCAATTACTTGGGTTGGGTTAGGTATCAGGAAAGGATAAATATGTACTTGTGTTCTATGGATCACCAGCTAAAGCTCAGCTCTTGTAAGTGAGACCATATAATAATAACCTGTCTGGGGCCTCATACAAATTAACATTCATTTAGCAGAGGGTTCAGCTATCGAGTACTGAACTGCTTGTGAGTGAAGACAATGAGGAGGAGACCAGTTGGCCATCACAGACTGCAATACAGAATATTCACATCCATTTCCTTAACTGGGCTGTTCACAAGACACACAGAAAAGCTCTGAAATTCCACCTGGTCCTATTTTGAAAGACAAATTTTCTTAAAATATAATAATCTTTGCATATTACATAGTGCCTTGTCACGTCTTTCAGACATTTCAAAGCGCTTCACAAAATATATTGTAAATTGGATTGACTGTATTTTGTGGGGGACACACGGTAGCTAATGGCGCACAGAAGTGTCCCACAAACAGTCGTGGATTGAGCAACCCCTTTTTTGGGTGGGGGGGATTATTACCCTTGGAAAGAAATCCGTCAATCAACTAACAATCGGGTTCCTGCTTACTGCTAGGTAAACAGAGGCATGTGGAGTAAGGAAACTTAACTAAGGATTCGCCCCCTGCCCGGGAATCAAACCTGGATCTTCTCGCTTGTGGAGTGAGCACGTTAACCATTACGCTACGGGATTCCACGCAAGATCATCCAAAATTGTGGAAAATATTTTAAATCAGTCTTAAATTGTAAGATGACTTTGCATATTTCTCATAAAAAGCAGTTTCCAAATGAAGACTGAATGTAAGGATTTTCCACAAATCTGTGCATTCTTACATTTTAAGGCAAAATGCTCTCGCAGGCTAAAGACAAGGTGGAATTCCAAACACATTCATTTCAGAGAACTGGGGTATTTCAGACATGCTGGTAGTGTAACTTGCATGCCGGTTTGGTGTGACCTAGTTGGAAAGTAAGCCCCTGACTGGAAGACATGGTTGAAAATTCTTTGTGACCCTCCCAATCTTCCAGTCGCATCAAGTGATTACAAAGAGTCCACGACAGACGTGGTGTGTCCAACATTTACAGGATATTATAGCATTCAGTTTGCAATGGACCTAATTGCTTACTCAACCGTCATTGGAGTTCTACTCATTAATCAGAAACAATTTAGAAATAGCAGCCACCTGGTTAGAATAGTCAGCCCAGGTGGGGGGGGGAGGCGGGGAGTCTGACTGTACAAATCTTCTCTCCCCACTGGAAGCTCTTTAGACGTATAAATGTTGAAATGAGTCGTGCTTTAGTGCACTACTTTTCTTTCAACAAAAAAGCTACGTACCAAACAATAATTTGCATGACATTCTTAAACAGAACCTAATTTACACTGGCACAAGTGTAGCAGTTTTTTCCACTATTGCTTTGAAGGTTTTTCTCCCCCACCCACCCCCACCCCCACCAACCCACTCTAAATAAAAAAAACCCACTCGTCTTTTTTAAAGAAATAAAATAATAAAACCCCCCAAAAAGTTAGTTGCTGAAACTGATTCGCATCCTTTTCAATTTCTGTAGCTAACACTGACAGGAACTCAGACAAGGCAAACATCAGCATTAATCTAGTTTAAGACCACTTCTTTTTAAATAAACTTACTTTTTTTAAACTGGAAAGACTGGTCTTGTGACCTAAAATACCATTTGAATGTCACCTTGTCATGTCTCTCTCTCTGTCTGTCTTTAAAGGACATGATCAAAATGTGCTCCACTTTCAGTGAGGGTAAATGGTTCACATGGTTCCATTCCGCATTTTACACTGGTTTGTGACAGCAAAACCTCGCTTTCTTTTTATATCGTCTTTCATGATTGTTCTTTAAATTCAATGGTTTCAGTTGTTTCGCTCTTTTCTGATAAACTCTCTTTGGCGTCTCCAGTCTTTTGGTTTGAGGTCTCGTAGCTTTTTGGCTCGGTGCCGTTGGGCAAAGAGCTGTCTCCGTTCACAACACCTCCTCCTGCCACAATGGCCTCGCCCAAAGTCTCTGCCAACTTCAACTCCTGCTCACCATCCTCGTTGCCATTTAGATCCCTCAGCACCACGGGGAGTTTGGAGTCCGCCACGCTATTCTCCAGCATGGCGATGTTGCTCTCTTCGTATTTGGGCAGGGGTGCGTCCTTGTTCTGCAGCGTTGTAAAGTGCTCTTGCTTTGTACCGGCGCTTTTCACCCCTTTCTCCAGAATCTCCCTCTCTGCCGAGCGCAGCTGGATGGCCATCCGGGTGTGATACAAAAGCTCAGGCTTCTCCAGCAGTGACGTGTCATCCTAAAGACAGGAAGAAGCGACAGGACGGGCACAAGGGACACAGGTTGGAGAGAATGCAGATATTTATTAAAAACATCAAGTCGAAATGTCTCACGGCACTTCACTCAATGAACTGATTTGTCAAGCACATTGAGACACAATATAAATGCTATGTTGTTACTCTGAAGTGTGGTAACTTTGAAGTGTGGTGACTGTTGTTAATGTAGGCAAAGATGATTGGTGAATAAGGGCCAGCCACAGTCCACAGAGAGATTGAACCATAAATACTAAGCACCTACAAAATACAGTCAATTCACTTTACAGTATATTCTGTGAAGCGCTTTGAGACGTCTCAATGACGTGATAAGGCGCTGTATTAAATGCAAGGATTAATATTATATTATTCTGCCTATGAGGCCCTGTAGTAGTAATAAGTAGTTCTTGTCATTAAGTCTATTTACCACAGAGCAACCTTGTGGACTTTTCTCCAAGTTCCAAACAATTCCTGTGTAGATCAATGCAACATCATCGACGATGGGCAAGCTTTTTAAATATGCTCTTGAATTTGCTGGCAACAGTGATATTTTTAGGGAGGATGGAAACTAGCAACAAGTGAACAAAGAACAGGGATAAATCACTGAGTGTTCTCTCTATGGGTGCAATACTAAGTTTGAATTAAAGTCATCCATCTAGATTCCGCACATATTCTCTTCCACATATAGATCTATATATTACAATTTTAATAATAAACTTACCTCAGAAGTAGTTTTATAGCTTTTTAACAGGAGTGCAGCTCTAGTTTCAAGAAAGGTCCACAGTTTGATTTCATTATCCCAGCTCACAGGGAATTCAGAGTTTCCCAGGGTAAAAATCTTATCAATGGCATGCTCGCCCACAAGGTGTTCTTTCAGTTCATCTGCAATTGAATAAGATAGAGTGTTCAAACTTCAAATTGGTGAAACATGTACAGGACTGATTTGATGTGGGGGGAGACACATTGGACTGATCACAAGTTTCCTCTTCAAGAAATGCCCAAAGGCCTCTCTCCAAGGGAGCTTATAATAAAATAATATCCTACATTCAGCAAGGAGCTGACTGACAAATTTTATCTGGAGGATTCTGGCCAGGACATTGGGAGAAACTCCCTTCCCTTTTTGAATAGTTATGGGAACTTTAATGTCCAAACTGAACAAGCAGATGGGACCTCAGTTTAACAGCTCATCTGAAGGACCAACATTGCAGCACTTCCCCAACACTGCACTGGACTGTCAGCCTGGACTGTGAGCTCACAGTCTCAATAAGAGACCTGAGCCCAGAACCTTCTGACCTAGAGGTGAGAGTGCTGCTAACTGTGCCAAGCTGATGCCACTATTAAGGGAATCCACATTACAAGGAGGAAATCGATTTAAAAAAATTAAGTTTGCAGGCAAATTAGGCATTGACAGTTGTGCTCAATAAGGGGGGTGGGGCGAATCCAGGTAACCTCCGACACAATAAAGTAATGGCAATGAACATCACTAATGAGCTGCCCAGAAATGCTAAACTTGAAGCACTTAGAGCAACCTGAAATACACGGGGAATAAAAGCCTTAATTCAAAGACTACATAGCAAAACAGATATAAATGTGTTGTGTATCATAAAACAGATTTCTCTGTTAATGAGCTGTTCATCTCTTGATAAATTTTCAATGATTATGTCAGTGGTTAATCCTCCAGTCAGGCCAATTCTGTGCATCAACTCCTGGCTCACATCCACAAGGCACACATTCATGGGAATGGTTTCAAGGCAGTTTGTCGTTTATTATGAATTGTTTGAGCTTCTCCTGTGCAGTGTAAGGAGTTGCTCGAGTCCTATGGAGGCAATGGCCTTGCAATCATTCCCATCTATCAATTATTCTCGCCCTCATTTTTAAACAAAATAAATTAACAGGAAAAAGGTTTTACCTTCAGTCATGCAGAAGACCCGCAGGAAAGCCAACAGCTGGGCTGAGATCGGAGGCTCGCTACAGTGCAGAGCAAATACACTGGACCTGACAGGAACACATGGACACCGTGAGTTTAGTCGACCAGATTAATGTGTGTTGTCAGCTACAACAAGCTGTAGCATTAGCAAGGTGAGCTATCAGCACAGCAACAGCAAACCAGGAAATGAACAGAAGATTTAAAGACGAGCACAGCACGAGATCACAGCGGCTGATGAGGAATAAGTTGCGATGGTCTGTCTACAAGATCCGCCGCGCCTTACCTAACCACTCTATCAGTCCCTTGTGTCTGTGAGCAAGCACACTTTCCTTTTACCTGCGCTATCTGATCATCCATTTATTGTAAAGTGAGTGAAAGCCCATTTGGACAGCACTGATCGCCGCTCTCAGCCCTTTCTTCTCCACGAGAGAACGAGTGAGTCCCAGATGTTGTGGGCATTTGCTGCCGATGCCCTCCTATATACTTAGCTAACCAGGAGGATGAGGTTATGTTTTCAAGAAAGCAAGCGCCAGAAGGGAAAATTCGAAAGAAATCTCTGCACAACACACTAGTGGGGGGTACTACCTCAATTCCATGAAACAGCAATCGGTGGGGACAGATTTGCAAGTTCCTAATGGGTTGAATTCCCCAAAAACGCTCATTGACGAGGGAGGCACCGATAGGAAGTGAGCAAATATATTTGACCCTCAGTTCAATGTACACATTCCGCCCCAAAGCCAAACGATATTGCGTACAAGGGAACTGCAAGTCTATAGTTTAATACAGGCCTATGTGGTTCTGAATTAAACGGTAGTCTTGTGTTTCTGCTTTGAATCCATTCCATCTGTCACCCCTGAGAAGAGACCTTCTTCTCTACCCCTCTGCTGATTGGACCCAATAGGCTTGAAAACAAGGGGAGTCAAAGCTGAAATCTCTCCACTCAGTAGCAACAGATCCCAGAAACTGACAGTTGGGGAGCTAATTGTATGTCACTTAAAATATTGTATGGTATACGGGAAGACAAAAAATACATTTGCTGAAAAAAATCTTCTGCCGTGGAATCAATTATGGAGAAAATCCCAGTGATGCTTTAAACATTATAGCTTGGGTTAGAGGGAAAAAGCACGATCGATTTCACTAAAATTAATGCACAAGTGTTCATCTCTGTATTGCTGTCTGTGGGAGCTCGATAAAACACGAGTTAAAGTAAGTGGGCTGTGAGAGAACCTTTTATGTGGCTTCTCCATTAATTAAAGTTACATCATAGGTTGTGGCACAGCAGCCCGTGACAGTGAAAGGTTAGTCAATGTGATAAGTTAAGTGAAAACTTCTGTTGAGAAAAGTTGTGGCGAAAGCAATATTTTTACTTGGCGCATTAGCACACTTCATCACAGGCATTCAGACAGCAAGCAGCCTTCAGGACGCTCTTGTCTCTCCCATTGGAGGAGCTTGAGCGATGTTAAGGCAAAATAGCAGCAACCTCACAGCCAGTTGAATACAAGGACGTCTTATCTGTCCACCTGAAGCTTCTGGAGTCAAAGTCAGATACCTGAACATAATGGGGACCGTGCCAACCACCCACTTCCCCCGACTGTACAGACACCGTGTGGGTATCAGTTAACGGTAATGCTAACACTATTAGCTTGCTAATACTGGCTCCTTCCACAAGACAGCCAGCAGCAGAACACAAGACTCGAGCACTACCTTTATACATACGTACCAAGCGTTCACTGACCAACCAGACATCACGTAAATGAAAAGGGAGTTTACAGGTTGAACAGCGGAAGCTTCAGCTGAATTGGGACTAAAGCCACTGTACAAAGAGATAAAAGTTTCCTACAACCCAAGCAGTACACATTTTGCAGGTTGGTAGAGTAACATATAATGCAAGTTCTTGTTGTAACTACAATGACAAATCATGGTATAGTGGAAGAACTAAGGATAAATATTACAAACTTAATTACTTTACATAATCTTATGGTACATATAAGGCAAAATAAAGTAAGGTTTTAATAATAATTCCTCCTAGCAGCAAAGTGAATATTGTGACCCTGACTGAAAAGAAAGGAACAGCAGGCTGGCGGGGGGGGGGAGGGAGTGACTTTATAAAAATATTTACGTTGGTATGCCGGCCCGAGCTAGGACTTCTGCTTTCATTGCGTACAGTCGGTCACTCTTACTGACGCCCAGCTTTATCTTCACTCTGTCGTGCGAGTTATTATTGAAGAAAAAACCGTTGTGGATCACAAATTCAGCGTTGGAGCGTGTCCCGTAGAAAATGTAGATCTGAAAGGTTCAAATAGCGTGTTTCAGTTAAAACAAGAAAACAGGAACTTGCATTTATATAGCGCCACTCACACAGGGTAGCGTCTCAGAGCGAACAGCTGGGTGCAAAGTTATTGGCAGAGGTCAACAACAACGGCTTGAGTTTCAAGCACTGAGATTTGCTTTTACATCTGAGGTTAAAAATGAGCAGAGGGAAGAGAAATGAAAGTCTCTTGAAGGGAATTAGTCACGGCTGCTGGGGGCAATAAACCCACTACAGTATAAATGCATTAGATAATTCAGGACGACACACAGATCTGATAACCTAAGCTTGGCACCAGTGGCCTGAGAGGTTGATTCTAGGAATTGTGTTGTACCATATGCTCCACCACTTACTCTGCGCAATAGAAACAACAACTTGCACTTATCGCCTCTCATGCAGGATGAATGTCTAAGTGCTTCACAGAGATGTGCTTGCAGCGTGAGATAATCCACATTCTTTGCCACTTTCCGAGTGCTGAGAAAACATCATTCCTGATGTGTATTTCATTAATTGACGAAAGGCCCTTTACCCGAGGATTTGCTAATTCGTTGTTCTTTAAGACTGCGCCAACACGGTAGCAGTCTGATGGCATTTGTTGAATGATGTTTGGCTTAACATCAAAGGAACAAATCACCTCCCACAGGAGATAGCAGACAGTGGCATTATGTAAACCCATCTAGACTTTCCTTTCCAAATCCATTGGTACAGTGCGTGAATAATAAAGCAGCAGAACATCCAGAATGTGCCCGGTCTCTGGAAGCTACAGAGATCGCCGTGCCTCACTGGTCACCCAGTCTGAAGTACGAGGTGACTTACAGGCTGCCAAACATGGGCTGCCAAAGATTTTACTCAGGTATCCTGGTGCTGTGGTAGTACTTTGTAACATTCCCAATTGCACGCACGGCATCACAGAGTTCACTGTGGTGGGGAACAGAGCGGCTGCTATGCCTGTGGTGCTGGAGATTGGATACGGTGTAGGATTAAATTTACTGAACGTTTTTTAAAATGATTGTGACAGTCTCCCTCCCCCAACTAATTTACCAATTGTCATACAAGGAAAAGAAAGCGTCATGGAACTGGGTCAGGATTCTGCACAGACCACGAGTGAGTGCTAAGCTTATTCTGGACAGTTCTGGACTGGTTATAATGGGAATCTCCCCTGTATGTAGTCCTGCAGCAGGATATCCGCTGCACTTTATTGGAGACAGCTTTGCTATTATCTGAAGCTTGTGACTCCTTTCTGCCCTTATCTTGTCATTAATAATAGCCAGGCGTCTGGTTCACACCCTTCTCATCTTTTTGGCAAGATTTGGTTTGGCTTTTCTCTAGCTTTCTGCTGCTGCTGCTTTGGTACAGTATCTCCTGTCTGTGTGATACCCTCCCCATTTCCAAAACTGTGTCACTTAGAGCTCCTTAAACATTTGATGAGGTTCCGTTTCACTGGTTAAAAGGTCCTTCACATTTCAATATTGCAACAATCACAACCCATTCATTGAGTTTCTTGGAACCCATTCATTCCCCTCATAGATGCGTTTCAGTAGCACATGCTCCTACTGCTCAACCCTCCCTATTGACAATACTACCCACGCCTTTACAGGAATGCTATACTGAGGCCTGACTGGTACGAGTCGTGACTTACAAGCACGATTTCCAACGCACGTGCAAGCTGTGCGAGCTCTTCTTAGAAATAAATCAGGTCATTGCACGGTTCCCATCTATTCCTCGAGACAGTTTCGTCCTTCGTGTCAATGTCAGGCAAGGAACAAATCACAATGAAGATATGCATTGCGCAGTACTTAGTTCATTTGGGGCCAGATATTTTAGGAAGTTTAACTGGCCAAGGTGTATTGGCTGACCAGACATAATGAAGGGAGGAAACAAAGTTATGCCTCACATTGTCAGAGGCTAATATATAGTGGTCTGTGCCATTTCAATTATGGTGCTGCTCTTGATAAACGCTGTTTAATGGTAATTCCTGTACATTTTTCTAAACATACTGAACCTTGTCCATTTCTTCTTATTAAATTATGGCTCTGTTCTGTGGTCCTGCAGAGAGTAGGTTCCTCCTTCACATTTTACCAATGAAGGTTCATATAAACAAACACATGTATTTAGCTGAACTGCGTGGCCTTTACACAACAGACTAAACTACTCGTGGCCCTCGCTGACCTTTCTCAATGTTAAAGCAGAATGTGTCAGATAACCCGGTTCATTAATAAGTTTCTACTGTATGTAGCCACAACTTTGCAAGTTGTCCTTGGCTATTGTGTGCGGGTGATGGTATAATCTCACACAGGGCGATTAGTCAGGGAGACAGAATTGCATGACTGCACCGAAGGCAGTGTACAACATTAAGGACACATTGAGGAGCCGAGCCTTTGTCAGCGAACCTTTTGAAAGGAAACATTACGCGAGCCATTCACTGTTGTGTAAGAGCAAGTCCTTCATCCAGGGACCAATTATTGGCCCACAAGTAACCGTTGTGCAATGCGAAATGTTCTATTTTGCTGAAGTTATTTTGGAAGCTGGCGCTGGAATGTGTGTGAGCCACTCAGGAAATGGAACTACTGTACTATGGATATCTCTCAATAATACTCGCTGCTGAACTGCACGTTGTATCCAAATCCATCTCGGGCTATGTATGTAGCTGATGTCCACTGTTCAATGATGGTGGGTTAACAGTGTGCATTCTGCACGTCAGGCGAGATTTCCACTGCTTTCCCTTTCAAAGACATTGTTCGAGAGAATAAGGGCTTCAAGATGTGTTGAATAAATACAAGCTGTTGTTCTTGCCTGTGTGCTGACATAGGTTGTCGCACGCTAAGGGGGAGCTGCAAGTTGTTTCAACCATTGTTGGAACTTCCGGGCATTCTTTCCCAACCCATGGATAACTTGCTCTGAACTGTCAAGGCGAATCACTGCAAAATCACTGTCTTGAGAGTCGCTCGTCACGTGGCAACTGCAATCGATTTCTCTGTGTGAACAACTGAACAGTGTTCGAATATGTACTTCATTCAGCAAACCAGACTGCCTGGCATAATTACAAATTGCATGGACTGTTCCATCGTTATGTACACTCATCGTCCTTCTCAGTTTATGATAAATTGCTCCTGTTCACCCAACGATCAATTCTAAAAATATCCCAAAACATTCCTTCCCTCCGCCGTCCGGTTTCTGCACAGCCCTGTCCTTTTCATCAATCAGTGGATTTGATGATTAAATGGCCATTTCCAATATCACAGCCTGATCTTCCCTCCTCCTCGTTCTCCTCGACTCATTGAAAGGAACGAACGCCAAAGCCAGGCAGGCAGGTGCTCTTTTACAAGTCCTATTGACAATAGTGGAATACGTCACCTTCAGCCAAGTCATCATCGATTCCCAGGTTTTCAAAGCACCAATTGAGGGTTTGCGCGCAGTGCCAGGGAAACCTCTCCGTGACAACTGACTTATTTTACAATCCACAGATAGAAATTCCGTTTGGCTTTACCCGCAGCGACCCTTTAAATGGGATCCCCATTAAAGGCCAACATCGCCAAAGCCAATGCATGCAATGGTGAACAGAATTAATACCCAATTAGTCCTTATATTAACACCTACACTTTCACCCTTGTGTTGTTGACATACTTTGCAAAGGAAAACTGTACAGGGAGGGAAGCAGTGGCATTATTGAATCAGGAAAGTTTGGTGAGCACAAGCCAAGAGAGAAACAGAGAAATCTTCCGCTTCAACTAATTCTTTGTTTTATTTCAGAAAATGTCACGAAAGGAATTTGCATGGAGCATTTGGGTAAAACACGAGACTTAATTCGAGCAAATCACCCCAAAATGCAGCACTAATAATTCTCATCAAATACCCTACGCAGCACCAGTGAAGTGTTTACACGGCACACAATTCCCAATTGATCCTTCTGTGTGGTTAGAGCAGTATTTTTGCTGGCCTTAATTCATCTCTACCAATATTTCTTCCTATTTTCCTGTTTTTTTTAAAAAAAACCTCAATAATGGAAAATAATCAACCTATCAAATCAGTTGGAAAGGTTATGAATGGAGGATACTCGTCCTTACCTGATCCCCCTCTTTGTAGTCCTGTAAAGCAACACATTCGCACCGGTCATCCTCCAGGTTGTATCCGGTGGTGATCTACAAATAAAAAGATAAGAGTAAGAGACCGATAGAGGTGCCAGGAAACAGCCAAGTGTCACAAACACAGGCATTCACCCACAAAATCTATAGTCAATCCACTTTGCAGCCAATGACGTGATAAGCTGCTATATCAAATGCAAGGATTATTTTATTATAATTCTCCACAATGTGGGAACAAAATAGTCAAAATATAAATGCACCTTTATATAAACAAAACTGCAGATTTCACTAAAATCTTGTTGAAAATCTCTAAATTTCCGAAGGGAAAATACACATATTAATGTCCATGGATACATTAGAAACTCATTGCATTTCTGCCCTCCAAACCCCTTGTGAGATCAGGGTGAAGTATTGGCAGGGGCTGTGGAGCCGTGTGTGACCCAGACTATTCTAAACTCCTGCCTGCGGGAGGACACTCAGCAGTCGGCTGTGGTGACGAGGATCCCACAAGCAGAGATTTGTTTTTTTTAATATAAAGAAAGACACCCAGATGCTCCATCCGTTTGCCGAACTGGCTGAAACTTTAGCAGCCGCCTAACAGATCACAGAGGGTGCAACTGTGTAATAATAATCCTTGTGTTTGATACAATGCCAGAAAGTCAAAACAGCTCAAAAGAACTTTACAGTAATTACTGTAAAGTACAGTGACTGTGCATTTATAGGCAAATGCGGCAGCCAGTTTGCATACAGCAATGTCTCACAAACAGCCACAAAGTGAATAAACCAATTTATGGGTTTATAATAATAATATTATTATTATCTCTGGGTTTAGAATTGTTGGCTAGGAGGCTGGGAGAAACTCCCTGCTATTTTGCAAAAGGGGGTGTGAGAGCCTTGGCTGCGATATGTTGAGCCCCACTCACCAAGCCATTGGTGTGGTTACACATATCCCACAGAGGTATAAGAGCCAGAGTCACTCGGGAACCGTCTTCAGTTGGGATCTGGTTCTGACGGGTCATGACAGAGGAGACAGCCCACCTGTAAAGAGGGAAAACCAGGGTGTTTAACACATCCAATATCTGACGCTCTTCCTCAAACCAAACCTCAGACATGCATCAAGGAGAAAGAAAGCATGTGTGGCATTTGTGAACATTAAAACAAGGACATGTTTTTACTTGAGTTCACCACACACAAGTTTAAAAACTAAGAGAGCGCAGCAGAGGAGGAATTATATTTAATAAAAAAAATAGTCAATATATATCACCCACTAAAATAAACAGTCAATCCACTTTACAGTATATCCCACAAAGTTTTGCGACATCCCAAAAATGTGATAAGGCACTATATCAAATGCAAGGATTATTATTAGATCAGCAACTTGTTAAAGCTGTTTTTTTTTTTGTTCGTTGCAAAAATATAACCCTACATTTTCAGTTATAAATTTGTAAACTATACCTTTGATGACTGGGAAGTTTTAGAAAAAAAAATCCAATGGTGGGGAGGGGATAGGGAAAAGAAGAGCAACAAAGGATATTTTCATGGGTAAGACATAACATATGGGTAATACACTATCTTATAGTGACACGTTTTTTTATCCACATCAACTTATGGTGCAACAGAAAAAAAATGAGATGGTGACGCAGAGGAAACATGCCAATTGTATTCCTCAAGGAAGATCTCATAACTCCTGAAAAACAAGTGCTCATCACAAAGGGACTATACTTCATGCGTGAGCCATCTCTCCTCTATGAATCAGTTTACACCTCATGCATTTATTAGATAAAGCAGTGGAGACATAGCTGTCACTGTGCTTACAATTTGCATTGTGTTGAACTGCAGGGAAGCCGAGAAGCCGCCCAGCCCAGAGCTACAAACAAACAGACGTGGGTATAGCTCTCAGAGAGGCACCTGGGTGAATGTTACTGCATGGACGTTTCCTAACAATGTTCATTGGTTGCAGAAGGGATAAATTACCTGACCAGTTAAGTAGACTATCTCACTTCATTTCTTTTGAACACAGAATCTGAGACTTGAGGAATTGGATGACAGAGAGCTGACGAATATGATGCGAAGTTGATCAGCAATCGGAGCTGCTGTGGTCAGCCAGTCACACTTGGGTAAGGGTGACAGCAGAGAGGAGACAAGGCACTGACATGTTTCCAAACAGCACAAGCAGAGGATCAGTATGTGTGGCCATAGAGATGAGGGCACAGGAAAATAAATCACTTCTCTTTGTTTCTCAGGCTTCAGGAATAAAAGAAACTGTGTGTTATGCACACCCATACATTCAAAATTAAGAGATTGATCATCAGCATGGACTTTACAGGGCAGATGTGCTGTAACCTTGCACTCCCACGTATCACTTTCTAAACATTACCTCCCAATTCTCTGCTCCCCTGACTCATTCTGTCATATGGTTCCATGGCTGGATTGAGCTGTGTGGTACATGTCCAGACTAGCTACGCTTCATTTATTTGTTCCAGCAGACTATATGATGGTGGAGGGCATCAGAGCCAGATTTCCGGCATGGTTCATTGAACAGTGATCAGGAGTGGGAAACCAGGGTGAATTTTTCCCCTCCCTTTTCCAGAGACATTTGGATTAACTCAGCACACCTTTGTAGTGAACAGGACAGTTCTTTTTTGGTAATCTGGTGATGCATTTGGAATTAAAATAGAATGGGGTGGGGGGTAAAATAAATCACAGTAATGATAATCCTTGGATTTAATACAGCGCCTTATCACATTGTTGCTACGTCTCAAAGCGCTTCACACAATATATGTTAAAGTGAATTGACTGGATATTTTGTGGGCAAAAATAGTAGCACTATTCAGGGGTTGTTGAATAGGTTATGGAGCGTGCAGAAATAATCCCCCCACCCCTGCTGTCCCTACCCCAAGATTTTATATTGGTTTCCTTCTTCCTTTTTGTTCATATCTTTTGTCTTAAACACCAACCTGTAGTCGTCAAAAGTGAAGGATTCTTTCAAGGGCAGTTTGCTGGCATTCGGATGGGTCTGGGAATCGGGAGGCAGGAGAACAGGAAAGAGAGAGAGAGAGAGAGCGGGAAGATAGGGAACGGCGGAGGGAGAGAGAGAGAAAAAAAAACACAAGTCAGTCAGCAGAATTTCATTACTTAGCAGCCTAACAGATACTAACAAGAGCCAAATGAAGCAGAGGAGTCCAGCAGAGTTACGGCAGGATCATCATGGCATAATGCTCCCATATATCACTGTCAACTTAATTTGTTGTGCCCAGCAGCTGTCATAAATCTGCTCCATCAACTCCTGCAAGCAGAACCCACCAGCAATACAAAAATAAAACTTAGGGCCTGTGACAGTAACACAATCTGCTGCCAACAAGTCCTTCATCAGCCTACCGAATGTCACCTCTTTTCCAAAAACGTTCACTTGTTGACACTGGCAGGGGCCCGGGAGACGGATATTTTTCATGGACTGGGAGTCCCTTCTCGCTCCTTGCTCTGATGCAGTGCTACTGTCAGTGGCACTCCGTGTAGTGTGCGATTTCTTCCTTGATGCATTAGCATCAAGAAGTTGGGGTAATTCATCATCCCTCTCAATAGTACATTGGCTGGCGTTGTGAGTGTAGTAAGGGGGGAAACTGAGGTTTAAGTAGTTGCACCGCAAATCAATTATGCAACAAAAGACGACACAGATAATGTAATTTTGGCTAAATTGGAGATCACAAAAGACTTCTAATTGGGTGCTAGCTCACTAGCGCTTTTTTTAATGTATAAAAATACCTCTTTCATTTTGCTTTGTTCATAGGACAGGACTAAAAAGGGGACGAGGCAAGCTGCTTCAAACATACAAACAATGGAATCCTTTCTACTGGACCATCTGTATACAGGTAGACTTTCAAGAACATCAGAATTAAACAAGATTAAGTATCATCTTTTTAAGAGGGTTTGTACAGAATTTCAAGTGGGTGAATGCACTATACATTATGGCCAACAACAACAACAATAATAATACTTGCATTTGATATACTGCCTTATTATTATCACCTCTCAAAGCGCTTCACAGGATTTACTGAAGTGTAGTGACTGTTTATTTTGAAAATGTCGTCAGCCTGACCAAACCAAACCTGCATCAAGAACTGTATAGTTTGAGGAAAAATATATTGGCATACTATATTATACAAATAATAAATAATCTTAATATTTAGATTCAGTTTCCATGGAAGTCCTTACGTAACAATGTCTGGAACTACACAATTCCCTCCCCCCTCCAGATTCCCCAGAATCAAAGCAAATTGTTGGAGCAGAGAAAATGAGGCTTTACAGCTAACCAACACAGAATACTCGAACTGTCCTGGGAGCACTTAATGCTGACCATGGGTGCCATCAGTGGAAAGATATTTCACTCCAAATATAGGAACAGGAGGAGGTCATTCAGCCCCGAGCCAGTTACATCAACGGCTGATCTGTACCTCAACTCCAATTGCATAATGATATACCTGATGAAATTCCTTGCCTCAGCCAGCGCAAACACTCACAAACTGAAGACAATTTGCCTGTAAAGTATTGCAATCATTTTGAACCGAACATTACAGCAAACCATTGTAGGATAGAGGAACAGACACTCAGCTGATTCCAGGGATTATGAAGACTTGCATTTAACTCTTATCTGCTCACACTTAGTAATTACTCTAAAATGCTTTGAGACATTTTGAAATAAGGCAACTATAAAAACACAAGTTCTTTCTTTTCTCTCGGTTGCTTTCTCTCCTGCCCATGACAGTTTATCAGTCAGGAAGGGTCTAGTCAATCAGTTTTTAGGAAACTGCTCAAAAGCTATACTAAGAGGAACGAGTCGGTCAAAAAGACCCTGATCTGACTTTTTTTTCCCAACTAAATCCAGACAGGAACATTCACTCCTCTCAGGTCCTATTGGGAGAGGGGAAGGGAGAAGAGAAAGAGTGCATCCGAGATTTTTAACTAACTCTACTATGAAACTTGGTTGCCTGCATTCCACATAGAGAATACAATCCTGTGGGCTAAAGTTTGTTCTAGCCCATATGGCAAGTTTAGTAAATCCATCATTCATAAAGAAAGTATAATGCAACATGATATTATTATTGTGAAATTAAATGATGCTTTTGAAATTTACTTGCGTTTATTTATTAACCCACATGGGATAAATCTAACAATCTTTCCGGACAGGACGGGGCAGAACAGAATAGAGTATAATATAATTGGTAATCCTTGCATTCGGTAATGCACCTTTCAGGTTGGAAGGAAATCTCAAATTGCTTCATGGGATTAACTGTGAGCGGCAGTAAGACGCGGCAGCCCATTTGCACACAGTTCCACATAGTTACACGTCAACAAATTCTCTATGAAACATATGATGCAGAAATACCCCTTTATTAACTTGGGAGCAATGAGTTTCAACAGAACACTGACCAAAAAATAGACAGGACTTTAAACCAATTTCAATCCTAGACATCACAGTATTTAACCAGAATTCTCTGAACTAAATACACTGTAAAGATCTGGATGACAAAGGTATAGAACAGCTCACTATTTGAGAAACCCCCTAGGTAGCCGGCAAAAAAAATCTCATTGAACATCAGCTTATATATAATCAGTTCACTCAAGTGAGTATCTGCCAGCTATATCTTTTTACATCAACCATATCGGTCCCCTTCACGAACTTAAAATCAACCAACCAACGGTGTGTTTTTACTGGGACTGATTTTAAGAAAGATTTCCTTGTTCACTCATCACTCAGTTGATGTTAAACATTGCCGCGTGAAGTTACTGAATCTTAAAATGAATTAACCCTCTGGCCTTACCCTTCCCTCACAAAACATTACATTTAACCAAGTATGTGCCACAGTTTGTTCACTCAATGCCTCTCAACACCTCCTATATGACTGGCGTGACCCTCTGTGAAACAAACTACAGCAAATTGAACAAGATTAGATCCGTAACGTTAAAGTTACTGAACCCATTAATCTTATATGCAGGGCAGTTTGCAACGTGCAGAAGATGCATTGCTTGTTGCAGAAGTGTGATAGAGTCAGTGTGGATGTGGAGGGCTTTGCATGAAGAGAATACACACAGCAATGCAGCACCAACCACACTACTAAAGCACAGAATAGATGTACCTGGGAACAACTGCTGACAGTAACCCCAATCATACTATATACTGTCAGAGCTAACCTCTTGCGCAGTTCATAACAATTGCCTGAACCGTTCTGAATCTACAATCTTCCTAGAGCGAGAGGCACTTTTACCTCTAGGTCAGAAGGATGTGGGTTCAAGACCCATGTCTGTACTTGAGCTCATATTCTAGGTTGACATCCCGTGTAGTATGGGGTGTGGGGGGAGCAATGCAATACTGCTGTATTGGTGAAATGCTCGTTGGATGAGATGTTAACCTGAGTTGCCATATGCCTGTTCTTCAGCTGAATGTTAAAGATTCAATGACACCATTCGAAAAAAAAGGTTATCTCAATGTCAAGTCGAATAATCTTCCAGGTAAATGGGTCATTCACCTCCTAAGAGCTGGTGAGACATTGCTGTGCACACAATAATTGCTGTGATTTCCTCCCATACAAAAACAGTCACTATATGTTACAGTAATTACTGCAAAGGGCTTGAGATGTGGTCACATTATAGAATGCTATTTTGTTTTTGAGAAAAAAAATCTGTTGCTTTTGAAATAATTCCCAATGCACATTACCTTATTGTAATATATGCACAGTTAATTTTATGAGTTGGCTTTATTCAATTTATGTGCCAACAGCAGCTCTTGGTTGAGATGTTGCTTCCAACCCACCAGATCCTGGCTGTAACATGGCTTTTTGCACTGAACATGACCTGCGTTCCTTCAATCAAACGCATAATCTGCAGGCAATTGTGCTATAAACCCTATGGTTGGCGGGTATTACATTCCAGCAATTCCTAAACTAAAAGGCAAAATAATTAAAACGTCCACCCACATGCCCAACACACACCCAGCCCCCCTCCCCCCGTCCACAGGCACGCAGATAATTGTGAAGTCTGCTCCTATTCCTCTGCCCTGTGCCACCCTGTGATGATATACCAGGAGCTGCAGAAGAGGAATGTGGGATGTCTCGCCTGCCAATTCCCCCTCGCTCAACGCTGGCAAGTAACAGTTTCCTGCTTGGGAGTGTTCCCAACTTCATGTATTGTTTTTTTTCTTAAACAAAACTGAAATCTCACTGCGTCGGACGCCAACCCCATATCCCATATGTGATGTACTCTTCTGCTCGCTTGCCCCCTCCGCTGTGCCCCCTCCGCCCATCACCATCAGCAGCCAAGCCTGCAGCCACAATGCAATGCCCTCGGCAACCCCCTCCCTCAACCACTCTGTCTCCTTCCTTTTCTATGTTCAAAAGCTGCTTAAAATCCTATCTGTGACCATGCCCAGGGTCACCTCCCTCCAACCCACATTCCCCTGGCACCTTAACCTTTTCTGTAAAATGCTTCGCTAAGCGACATGTATAAATACAAGTTATTATTGTGACGAATGGCTGAGGGACCGTTGCAGAAACACTGTAAACAATTAATATTTTCCCATCCATAATACAAGCTTTAGCTGTTCACGTGTTAAATATCAATGTGAGGAGAGAGAGAGATGGAAAGAAAACATTAATGTCCATAAAACATTAATATTCTATGCGAGCTTTCACAATGATAAAATGACTGCTCCACATTCACTGAAAAGGTGTACTGTAGCAGACCAGAAAACATCCCACGGCAATATTGTCTCTCCATCACCGAGAAGACCACAGTTACTGTACTCTAAAGTGATTGCCATGAACGTGCAAAGCACAATTCAAAGGAAAAGAAAAACAGCCCAATGTTAATGAAAAGTGTGTTTAAAATGGGGCATGGGGGGGTCAAACATAACAATAATAGTCCTTGCATTTGTCATAGGGAATCACGTGGCAATTTGTGAACAAAAATCCTTCAGGAAGCAAATAAGAAAGGCAATTCCTTCTTCCAGAAAGCAGCCAAACT